GGGGGTTGAGGGGACATGGTAGCCTGGAGTCCCATGTGCCAAATTTGAATCTCTGCTGTGCTGTCTCAGTGTGACCAAACTCCTCTGAGCTTAAAAGACATATGAACCAAGGCTCATTCTAGAAAATTCACACTAGGAATCTCAGATGATGATAAAGAACCCAGCAATTAAAATATGAAAGAGTATCCATAGTGAGTTGTTGAAAAACAAGAGAAAAGCCAGGCACTGGTGCTCACATCTGTAACCCTAGCTACTCAGGAGGCTGAGATCTGAGGATTGTGGTTCAAAGCCAGCCCAGGCAAGGAAAGTCTGTGAGACACTTATCTCCAATTAAGCACTAGAAAACTGGAAGTGGCACTGTGGCTTAAGTGGTAGAGCGCTCACCTTGAACTGAAGAGCTGAAGGACAGTGCGTAGGCCCAGAGTTCAAGCCCCACAAACAAGAGAGAGAGAGAGAATATGTAACGCAATACTATAAATGTTAAAAGTATAACAACAGAATAATAAACTGGTATCATACAGCCACACCGGCTGCTAGGCTGAGGCCTGCAGGTGGCTTAGTGGGTGGGTGCCATGAGGAGCTGTGAATCCCAGGGCTGTCAGTGTTCATTGCCTGTGGCTGCCAGAAGGAATTATCCTGAACTAAGTGGCTTAAAACAACCCACATTTGTTTTCCTGTGGTTTGGGAGGTCCAAAGTCCAGAATGAGCTTCCAGAGCTGCTGTCAGCCTGGGACTGATGGCTCCATCAACAAGCTCCAGGGAAGATCTTGTTCCCCTGCCTTTTCCAGCTTCTAGAAGCTTCCTGTCTGCTGGACCACATCCCCCCTACCCTCCTGCTGCCATTCTCATGCCTGCTTCCTCCTTTGGCCTTTTCTCTTCCCCTTGTAGGGACACTGGTACTGGGGTTGAATTGGAGCCATGTCCCCATCTCTACATTCTTCACTGGTCACAAAGCAAAGGCCACTGAGGGTCCTGAATTCCAGGGGTTTGGACCTAGATTACTTTCGAGGACTGTGATCCTGCCTACCATGTGCCTTTTTCCAGACTCCAAGAAACACAGGCTGAGTGGTAAACCACCCCGAGCTGGACTCAGACTCAGATTCCGCTCTGCCCCTGACTTGCATGGCCTTGATAAACCCCTCAACCTTTTGTGGGATAAAGATGGGCAGATGCTCACCTGCCTCAGGTGAGGACAGCAGCTCCCTGCCGGACACTGGGTTAACCCCTTCATGGACCGACATATTAATTTTTCAGTTTTGGGGTTCCTGGAAACTACTACCAATGTAAGTGCCTGCTACCAGGTCTTAGTTCTGTGGTTCCTCTTTTGGAACCCTTGTCACTAGGTATCCGCGTGGTCCCCTTCCCTGCTTGATGTCCAAGAGGCCCAGGTGGAGGAGGCCCAGCCATCTTGCTCCCTGGAGACTGCCTGGGAGAACCCCGGAGGTTTTGTGACCTCTGATCCCACTGCAGATCTGATCCGATTCCTTCTTAGGTTCTAATAGAGATGGTTTCTGGGAACCCTGGAGAGAGTATGTATTCCTACTTGCCTATCTTGAGCTATCAGTTAAATATTTTAATATATATTCAACAAATGTCGTGGTATACATTGTGCTGGGATGTGGATGCTTAGTGATAAAGAGAGCAGACAAGAACCTTCTGAGTCTACACCCTGTTCAGGAGAGAGAGAGAGAGAGAAAGAGGACAAGTTTCTATATCAACTGTGATGTGATGTCATCCCTCCTGGGGAAGAATGTCAGTGAGGGCTAAGCCAGGGCCCAGAGGATTTTAGATAGTTGGGGAAATCCTGAAGAAGTAGCCAAACCAAAGAATGGGTGGGAGGGATACTTTCAAGCAAGTGCAAAGGCCCTGTGGGAGGAAATACTTGGTGTGGTGAACACAGAAAGGAAGCCATTGAGGGAAACTGAGGCCAGTCCAATGGGGAAAGTTGAAAGCTCTAAGAAAGTTATGCTAAGAAAGCTCTAAGGATGTTATGCTAATGAAAAGATGATGAGTTTGAGAAATAACGTTTCTCGAACTATTCCCCCCATCAAAAGAGTCTATATAAGGCCTTTAAGTTTCAAGGAATAATGGAAGAAGGCCATACCTGTGGTACTCTCCACTAGTCTCTCCCAGTGCTATTCCTCAGTCCTTTAGGACCTAATAATCCTGAATTTTAGTGTAAAATTCTGAATTTCCTCCTAATATTACTAAAGTAGAGCAATGTATTGGTTAGTTTTTAACTTTGTTTAAATGAACCCATGCTGGGCATAACTGTTGTTCTTCAGTTTGCCTTTCTGTTTATTATGCAGGTCAGACTCCTTCGCATTGGTGCATGTAGCTGTCACTCATGTTCACTGCTACCACAGTACACCTCCTCATTGGTGCACATAGCCATCACTCGTGTTTACTGCTGCATGGTACTCTTCCTCATTGGTACACATAGCCGTCACTCATGTTCGGTGCTGCATGGTACTCTACAGGGTGTTCCTGTTCTGATTTATACTTCCTCTTGTGCAGTGGCATTCCAGTCCCTGCTGTTGAGCCAGTGTTACATTCTTGATGGTGACGGAGTCTCTTCTCTAGAAAGCGCAGCTGGGTTAGATTTGGGTTGTTTGCTAATGGGCCAGTGGAGCAGGCTGGGCTCACTTCCCCTGTTGGCTTTATTTTCTGGTTTGGCTTCAGGGTTTTATATTTCTCAGAGAATGGCCTGGGAGTGTTTCCCTCTTTCTGTCCAGATCCTCTGACAGAATCACGAGAGGGTTTTGGTAGGTGTTACCAGTCTGCAGTCCTGGATTGTATATGTGGAGTTCCGGCTGCCTTCCTTATCTGGTGTCTTGTGTATACCCCAGCTCCCCAAACCACAGGCCTCACCTCAAAACCTCACAATACCCAAGAGCTCACTGTTTAGAAATGGCATCTTCTGCTCTCTTCTAGGCAAACCTTGAACTCAAGGCATGAAGGGCTGTCCACAGGCTTACACCGAGTATCCCCAGGTAACCATAGGTAGGTCCCTCTCTCTGGAGATTAGCAGATCATCTTAACAACCCACACCCAGCGCCATTCCCCTGGGCCTGCCTTGAGGTGGAAGAGTGACGGACAGGTCCCACTCCAGCTCTAGGGGTGTTGCCTGGCCGCCCTGGGCCTTTGGCTGGCCTCCAAGGGGGGACATGTTGAGAGCTGCATGATTCCAAGTCTCTAAGCCCCAAATTAGCTTCTTTCCATATTTTTGAAAGGGAAAGAACAGCAGGCTAAATATATCATGGGGCCATGCACGGTCAACAAGGCAGAAATAAAGTCAACAGCCAGCCATCTGGGGCTGGGTTTACAGACCCCAGGGAGCCCTGCGTAGTGTCAATAAAGCAGAGTTGGATCTGTTGGAGAACTGGAGCCACCACTGGACACAAGGCAGGCTGTTGGCCCCTAGCAGGTGCTCAGGGAGTGGTCCCTCCCCTCCTGCATAGTGCCTGCTCTGATCGCTCTCTTCCCATCATGAGCCCCTCTGAGTCTGACCTGGCCGCCATCTGCTGGGTAAAGGCCAAGCATCCTTGAGGCCCAGAGCTCCAACTTGTGTGTGTGTGTGTGTGTGTGTGTGTGTGTGTGTGTATGTACATGCACACACACGCACTCACAAGTGCATGCAGGACCATTGCTTACCACTCCCTGGCAGGGGGATCTCTACTAAGTGCTCTGCACACCACCCCATGCACGCTCATACCCCATGCACAGGCCTGCAATGTGTGTGAATGCATATTTGCATACATATATACACACATATGCACCTGTATATATGAAATGCACCCATAAGCTCATGTGTGCCTACCATATATGTATGGGTACTGCCCGCACATGCATGTACCTACACACAAGGGGCTGTGCATTTGGGTTTTTTTAAATAATATAATTTAGAAAATAATCTTTCAGTAATTGAACAAAGGGTTTCGAATCAATGTGTCAGTTTGTGAGTCTGATGGTCTGGATTAGCATCACCCCTCCCCTCGTTCTCCCTCACCTCTCCACCCCCACCCCTCCCCTCAGTGACCTGGTTCCTTTTTAACATATGTCTGTGGAATATTCTGGCTGTATCCACCTACCCTTCCTCTCTTCCTCTATCTTCCCCCTCCCTCTTGATGACCTAAGTTCCAGCTTCCCGGTATTCTTTTTGTTAAAGTGTAAGTCAGTTGTTCAAAGGAGTTCCACTGAAGCCAGGTTTATAGATCCCAGGCCCAAACTCTAGTTTTAAGTCAGGACTAACATGGTAAAGGGCAGAGGGAGGAGCTTCATTCCACGGCAGCCATGGGGCCATGGTGCTTCAGGACATCTGCAGCCTTCAGGGGTGCAGACATTGGCTTCAGGTAAAACGAGAGAATCAGGGGCAGAAGAGGAGAAAGCTCTGCAGAGTTACAACCGCCCCCTGTCCCAGATAAGGCCAAGGTGGCCATGAGCCCAGCCTGTGTCTCTGGGGAAATTCTGGAGGAGTTACCACTTTATTACTGGAATGGAAAAGGAACAAGGTGCTCTCCTGAATCTTTGACTATTTGCTTTAAGAGGATCACAGATGTGGTCTGTGGGAGGGGCAGTGTGCCCGCCCCAGCACACGCTTCTCCCTGAGTTCGGTCTTCCTCGGTGATGGCAAAGTTGACTACATGTAGCAGAGAATAGCTGGGATCCAAGGGCACAGATTCAGTCGGGGGACTTTTCATTAATTCACAGGACCAGTGAAAGAATCTTCAAGTTGCCTCTTACACCATTGAAGTCCTCCCTACCCCCAATCCCGGAATACCATCCTTTAGTCAAGGTGTTTGTGTATATCTGCAGATGACCTTGTGTGTGATTTCATGTTATGGTTATATTTTAGATCTAACCTTCACCTAAGAGAAAACATGCAGCCATTGTGTCTCTGAGCCTGACTTCCCTCATTTAACATTATTTTTTCTAGTCCATCTATTTATAGTCCCCTGAATGACATAATAAATATTATTCTTGGTGGATAAGCAAAATTCTTTCTTTTTTCTTTCTTTTTTCTTGTGCTGGTAGTGGGGTTTGAACTCAGGGCCTTGAGCTCTCACTTGGCTGTCTTTGCTCAAGGTTGGCACTCAACCACTTGAGCCACAGCTCCCTTTCTGGTGTGTGTGTGTGTGTGTGTGTGTGTGTGTGTGTGTGTGTGT